GGCGCAATGATATTACGCAGCGCCTGAAAATAGGCTAACTTCCGTCAACATAACCAACGTGGCCACCTGCTTGCACAGGGAGCTTGCTGGGGACTATTTTCAGGCGCTGCGTAATATCATTGCGCCTGCTGCACCCATGGTACGGCAGCAAAGTTCCTTGATTATCACGCTTAAAAAAAACCAAGATGATTACATTATTTCAGGGTTGCAACCTCATACTGTAATAAGAAATGATTATGTGAGAAAATGAACTCCTTGCTTTTTTTCCAGCTCTTAGAACTGTTTGACAGTGAAGATCCTCGAGAGAGAGAGTTTATAAAAACGGTTCTGCATCGCATCTACGGGAAGTTTCTGGGTTTGCGTGCCTTTGTTCGGAAACAGATCAACAACATTTTTCTGAGGTAAGAAAACACTTATTTTCACACTCTTATATTTGTGTACACTGCTATTCAAAAGTTGTTTGAAAGAAATGATTACTTTGATTCAGCAAGGATGCACAAAATTAATAAATAGATTTATCAAACGTGACCGTAGCAACATTTATCATTTTAGAAAAGATTTCTATTTCAAAAAATGCTGTCCTTTAAATTTTCTATCCCACTAAAAAATATTAAGCATTTTCAATATTGATAATAATAAGAAATGTTTCAGCATATAATAATGATTTCTGAAGGATCATGTGACACTGAAGACTGGAGTAATGATGCTGAAAATTCAGCTTTGCATTACACATGTTCCATGAAGATATTTTATAAATTTCCTACCGTAAATTAGGGGTGTGCAATATTGACAAAAAATAATATCTCGATATTTTCTGGTATTTTATCGATAACGATAATTAGACGATATTTTGCTGAGTGCGTTATTGTACTGGTACCTTAAGGACTGCCGTGGACAGCTGACTCCTAAAGTTTTTGATATTCTTTATATTCTGTGTGGTGATCAGTTCGCAGCAGTGATAGAAATTAATCTTTTCCAATAAGTTTTAACTCATTTTTACATTCTATGGGAATTTTTACCTTTATAAAGCCATTTTTTTTCTAAAAGTGTCCATTATCTTTTGCATACTGATATTTGAAATTATTTAAATAATAAAAGATTCTCTGAATGTGAAATTAAAACCACCAGTAGGTGGCAGCAAGTCACTGTTAATAAATGAGTCATTGCAATTAAACCGAATCATTTAATCAGATGATTCATTCAGGAACGAAACACCGTCATGTTGCTCAGAGATGCGAAACAGCGTTGTGGTTGTGTTTGGAATTATTTTTTGTTGTCGAAATAGCGCAAAAACAGGAAATATGGTGTCTAAAACGTAAGTCTCTTAATTAACTTCTTGTTTATTGTAAAAAATCTATATCACATTTGTAATCATGGTAATTTTTGGAGAAGAAAAACGGCACTCTTTGTGTGAAATTGATTAACTATATGAAGTGGTATAAATAATCATTCTAAATTAGGGGTGGAACGGTTCGCGGAAAAAAATCGAACCGTACGGTTCTCCACACATGGTTCGGCATACACTAGGACCGCGGTTCAACTTAAATCTGACAATGCATCTTGAATATG